GGAACCTCCAGTCTGTAGCTGGCTGGTCAGAAGCACAGGTGAGAGCTGACTTCTGTGACTTGTGTGTGCATGTGTGGCTTTAATTTGCATTTGGCTTAATTTGCATTTCCCTGATGATTAGTGATGTGGAGCATCTTTTCATGTGTGTACTGGTCCTCCATATGTCCTCTTTGGAGAAGTGTCTATTAAGGACCCCCGCCCATTTTTTTAATCAGGTTGTTTGTTGTCACTATTGTATTGATATTGGGTTGTATTAGCTCTTTCCAAATTTTAGGTATTAACCCCCTTATTGGATATGTCATTTGCAAATGTATTTTCCTGCCTGGTAGGTTGTCTTTTTGTGTTGTTGATGGTTTTCTTCATAGGGCAAATGCTGTTTAGTTTGATGTGGTGTCATTTGTTTATTTTTGTTCTTGTTGTTTTTTCCCCAGATTTCTCCAAAAACATATTGCTGATACCAATGTCAAAAGTTTATTCCTGTTTTCTTCTAAGACTTTTATAGATTCAGGTCTTACAGTTAGGTTGGTGATCCATTTTGAGTTTATTTTTAGATATGGTGTAAGAAAGTGGTCTAGTTTCATTTTTTCACATGTATCTGTCTACTTTTTCCAACACCATTTATTGAAGAGACTGTCTTTAGCTCATTTTATATTCTTGTCTCTTTTGTTGCATATTAATTAACCATATACGTATGGGTTTATTTCTGGGCTCTCTATTCTGATTCATTGATCTATGTGTCTGCCCTTGTGTCATTACCATGTTGTTTTGATTACTATGGCCTTTCACTGTAGTCCAACTTTGTTCTTCTTTTTCAATATTGCTTTGGCTAGTTGAAGTCTTTTGTGGTTCCATCTTAATTTTAGGATTACTTGTTCTAGTTGTATAAAAAATGCCATTAGTATTTTGATAAGGATGGCATTGAATCTGCAGGTTGCTTTAGCTAATATGGATATTTTATTGATAGTAATCCTTCCTATCCATGAGCATGTTCTAGCCTTTCATTTATTTGCAACTTCAATTCCTTTCATCAATGTCTTCACTGTAGTTTTCAGAGTACAGGTCTTTTGCCTTTTTGGTTAAATTTATTCCTAGGTATTTTATTCTTTTTGATACAATTGCAAATCAAATCACATTAGTAGTTTGTTATTAGTGTATATAAACACAACAGATTTCTGCATACTAATTTTATATCCTGCAACTTTACTAAATTTATTTATTAGTTTCAGTAGTTTCTGTTGGAATTTCTAGGGTTGTTTCTATATAGTGTTATCTGCAAATAATGACTTTACTTCTTCCATTCCAATTTGAATGTCTTTTTTTCTTGCCTAAATGCTGTGGCTAGAACTTCCAATACTATGTTGAATAAAAGTGGGCATTCTTGTCTTCTTCCTGATCTTAGAGAAAAAGATTTCAGCTTTTCATTATTGAGTATGATGATGGCTGTGGGTTTGTCAGATGTGGACTTTGTTATTTTAAGGTGTATTTTCTCTATCCCTACTTTACAGAGAGTTTCTATCATAAGTTGATATTATTTTTGTCAAATGTTTTTTCTGTATCTATGGATATGATCATATGATTTTTACCCTTCATTTTATGTGATGTATCATGTCCACTGATTTGTGGATATTGAACAACCTTGCGTCCCACCTAGGAATAACTTCCTCTTGATCATGGTGTATGACCTTTTTAATGCATTGCTGAATTTGGTTAGCTAATATTGTGTTGCAGCTATGTTCATCAGTGTTATCAGCCTATACTTTTCTTGTTTTGGTAGTGTCTTTGTCTGGTTTTTGTGTCAAGGAAATGCTGTCCCCATAGAATGAGTTTGGGTACTTTCCTTCCTCTTCAATTTTTTTAGAATAGTTTGTTAATTCTTCTTTGAATATTTGGTAGAATTTATCTGTGGAGCCATCTGGTCCAGGAGTTTTGTTAGTTGGGAGTTTTTTGATAACTGATTTAATTTCATTACTAGTGATTGTTCTGTTCATGTTTTCTGTTTCTTCCTGATTCAGTACTGATCTACACAATGTTATTATATAATGGACTTGAGCATCCATGGGTTTTGGTATCTGTGAGAGTCCTGGAACCAATTCCCCATGGAGACATGAGTAGTGAAGTTTGTGGTGAGTTTAAAGTTATACATAAATTGTTGACTTTGACAGTGGTCAGAGTCCCTAACCCACACATTATCGTTCAATGATCAGATGTAATTGGAGTGTTTGAGGAATGAGGAGTAATTCAAAATTCTTCCTGCCTGGTGGAAAAACATGTGGTATCATCCAGGTATTCAACAGCAAAAAAGTAGATGGAGCTATGCTAACATAGGAGGTGTAACACAAGGTTGTTCAATATCCACAAATCAGTGGACATGATACATCACATAAAATGAAGGGTAAAAATCATATGATCATATCCATAGATACAGAAAAAGTTCAAAAGTTCATGTGCAGCTAATAGAGAAAGGAAGAGGACTGTGATGAATGGGTACTTGTTACATATCTCTGTGCTGGGTTCTTAAGAAATCTTTTTTGATCCATGTGTGCTGGGTGTTGTGTTATCATGGCATGAATGGAAGAATGCATCCACTTCTCCCTAGCATCTAAGGAGGTTACACAGCAAGGGGGCAGGCACAGGACTTTCCTACTATTCCTGGGACTGAGAGGAAATACTCCAGGTAGGCACACCATGGTTCTGTGACTTAAATGGTATCTAGTGGGCATGCTGGGTGGACATGGAGGGGCCAGAATGAGGTCTGGGCTCTGAAACAGGATCAGGAAACAGATCCAGGTGTGGGATCAGGGTGTGAGATCCAGCGTGCAGCAAGCCCTTCTTTCCTACAGAAGAGATTTCAAACTGTTATGTGGACCATGGGGCTCCAGTCTCTGTGGGTTCTGGTGAAAATTAAATGGTAAAATGCAGGTGGTGAGCCTAGCAGCTCCCGAACATATTGTTCATGGTTTCTGTATCATACCAATAGATGCAGACCCCTCACACCCCCACATCTGTACCACTGGGTCCTTGACCCATTTCCTCTCTCTGAACCCCATTTCTTATTCTGAAATTCCAGGATCCTGGGAATCACCTCACTTAAGGAACAGACAGAAAGGATGGAACTCATGTAAATGGAAACATCTACAAAACTGCAAGGATCAGGGTGGTTCCCTTCTGATGGAGCTGAATCCTGTCCAGGACAAATGCATGAGAATCGTGAGGACAGAGAAGGCACAAGGCAGCAGGACAGAAACTGGAACAGGGCCTCCCAAGCCTTGCAGCTGCTGTGACATGCCACAAGGCCCCATCTTCTTACCACAGGCTCCCCAGATTGGTGTCCTGCACTCTTCCAGGACTCCATGGCTAAGCCATCACCCCCTGACAGCCCAGGACCCCCAGTTGACCCCCCTTTCCTGAGCCACCTCTAAATAGTCGCAAGGAAGTGACCCCTGCCTCCTGGCTACCCTCCTCCAGTCCCTCTGTCCTCCAGGTGGACCATCTCCCTTCATTAAGGCTCACTCCAGCCCCCTGGGTTGCTGAGTTTATCAGAGTTTATTGACTATGGCTGGTCCCCAGGTGTCTGGCTGAGTTGGCGTTAACACCCCAATGCCAGTGAACAGCTCCCCAAACTGACATTTGCAGTACTGATGTTGTTTCCTAGACCACAGCACCCAACATGTGAAAGGAAAGGGAAGACAACTTTCTCCAGTGACAACTGGGCCATTTCTGAGGCACTTCTGCTGGAGCTCTGAGCAGTAAGCTGTGTCAGCCTATGTTTTAGTTTTAAAGTCTTCTTGCCTTCAGCAGAAGGAAAAAGAAAACATAAAAGTAGGTTAACAGCCCTCTTGTGACAGCTGGGAGGCCTGTCTTGTGAGAACCTTATTAACACAGAGCTCCTGTGCTCAGTGGATTATCACTGGGCCTTTGCACAGGCCACATGCCTTCCCCTCCCCGTCAGCTGAGGACCATGTTTCAGTCAGCGTTTTCTAGAGAAACAGAACCAGTAAAGGGGGAGGGGGAGGGTGTGTGTGTGTGTGTGTGTGTGTGTGTGTGTGTGTGTAGAGTGTGGGGGGGAGGATTGGCTCACTGGACGGCGGGCTGGGAAGCCTGAAATCTGCAGGGCAGGTGTGGTTGGAAACCCAGGGTGTTGTTGCATTCTGGAGTCTGAAGGCAGACTCCAGGCAAAGTCCCTCCTCCTTGGGGACATTAGTCTTTATTCTTAAGGACTCCCAGACTGGATGAGGCCCACCCACATTACTCAAAGTCTATTAATTTAAATGTGAATCTCATTTTTAAAAAATGGTGTTTGACCAAATTCCTGGGCCCTGTGGCCAGGGCAGGGAGACACATAAAATGAACCATCACACCCTGCTTCTCATTCCCCTGAAGGGCACAAGCACTCATGGGTCCATCTACACCCACAATGCCCACCCCTGCCCAGCCTCCCCTGCCCCCTTGGCCAAGCACCCCAGACTCGTCCTGCCTGCCGGGCCTCCATGTAACGTCCCCCACCTTCACCAGAGGACCCAGACCCCCGAGGCCACAGCCAGCCACCTCCACTCCCTTACTCCAGCCCAGCGGTTCTGCTCTGCCCGTCTTCTCCACCAGTACCTGCTTCAGAGACGCCGGCAGTGTTTTCTCCTCCTCTAACCGGATCTTGAAACAGCACTCAGCTCCTTGACCAGCCCTTGTTCTTGAACCGCTCTTGCGCCTCGCCTCCTTCCTCCTTCGCTTCGCTTTACCCCACCCCCCTTCCCCCTGCCCTCCCTTGCTCTCCTGTCCTCTCCTGTGGGCTCCAAACCTACCCTTTCTGAGGCTGCTTCCACATCGCCCACACCCACCCAGGGTCTCTACTGCTGTAATTCCAGATTTGTACTCCAATCTCGCCCTTCTCCCAGATACCTGCTTCCAAGCCTGACCCAGTTCACTGCTTGTCTTTGGGACATCTCAGACCCAGCGAGACAAAAAACAAAACAAAACGCCATCCTCTCCCAACCCCTCCCAGATACCTGCTTCCAAGTCTGGACCCACTTCAGGCCCAAACCACAGCTGTTCCTCATTCTAAGGCCACACAGCACAGGAAGGAGAAATCCGCCAGCCAACTGTGGGATCACCATCTCGTGCCTGCATTTCTGCTGCCCAGCGTGGCACCCGCTTCTTCTGTTCCCACCTGTTCCGAATGGTGGTCGTGTTAGAAGGATGGTCCCATTAGGCCACGCCCATTCGAATTCCACTGCACTCTCTCTCTCCCGCCCCAAGGGGATCAAGCTCCCCCTTCAGGGCCTTCCCCCATACTGCTCCCTTTGCAGGAACATCTTCCCTTCCCACACACTTCTGCTTTGCCAGCCGGCGGCCTGCTGTGCCCTCAGATACCACTTCCTCGTGGAGGTTCCACCTGACAGCAGTGGCAGGCTCCTCCTGACGTTCTGTCACCAATGGCATTATACTGAAGAGCCATTTATTATTTCCTGATTCTCCTTCCATCTCTCAGGGACCAGGATCTTCTGTCCACTATGGTCTCCCCAAGGATAGGACAATCGGTGACGCACAGCAAGCATTTTATAAAAACATACACAGCCAGCAGCAGTAACATAAAACAAAGACCTGCACAGGTCCCAGTGGGCCTTCAGTGGGCTTAGGGCACAGCTTCTTTGCTGGTGCTTCACAGTAGGCATCGAACACAGCCCCACTTGGCACTAAAGAAAGCACCTTCCCATGGCTCCCAGTGTCCCCCACCAGTTCAGACACCCCACCCCCTTGTTCACTGGCCATGACCCTGTGCCACCCTTCCTCTCCTTAGGGACCCTGTTCTTATCCAGCTGGAGCTTAACCAGCTCCCTCATTCCAGATGTCACTGTGGCAATGGAACCTGCCCTGACTTCTTTAATCCTGTTACCAGGCATTGCTCCACTTTCCTTGTCCTCTGCAGCATGGATCAAACTTAGCAGATCATGGTATTGATTTTACTAACTGCTCGCTTCCCCTTTTCCCCCACAAGCTAGTTGTGTTGACAGATGTACTCTGAGTACGTGGAAAAGCACCTAGCACTAAGAGAGCCTATGAGGTTCTTGGTATGTTTGTTGAATGATGAAGGATTCCATACCCACCCAATGAGGTGAACAGCATCAGCTCTGTTTTCTGGATGAGGAAACTGAGGTGCAGAAAAGTGAAGTAGGCCTGAGATCATATGGTGAGGAGTTAAGGAGGCAGGCTTTAACCCAGGTGCTTAGTGAAATACAGGACAAATGCAAAGTAAAGGCAAGTTCTGAGCTGAGCTGGGAAGGGAGCTCAGAGGGAAGGAGCTGGGCTGGGCAATGGGGACTGACCTGATGTTGTGTGCTAGCAATTGCTGGGTTCTGCATGTTACCTGCTTTAGGGTCGCAGTAGGGCAGAGCAAAGAGCACAGGTTCCCGATGCTCAACTGCTGGTTCCTCAGCCAATCTTAGGGCTGGGAGCTCCAGCAGAGGGTCTGGACCTTCACAGAAGGGCCACAGGCTGGGATTATGCTCAAGCCTACCTCACTGGTCCCTGGTTCCTCCCAGGGGGGGTCCTCTGCTCAGGCTGCATGGCCACGATGGTGCTGGCCAGTGCTCCTGGGGGTGGAAGGGTTAACACTGAGTTCCCAGCAGTCAGATGGGGGTGGCTCCCTTCGGTATCCACAGGTTCCAGGTGAGATCCCTGGGTGACCATTTGATGAACAACCACTGTTCACTGAAAAGAGCTTCACTCCTTTGCCTTCCTCCATCTCCTGCTGAGGTCATAGTCCAGGCATTTGACAGATGCGGCTCCCAGTAACTTCCACCAGCCAGGCGTGGTAATTGGTAACTTGAAGAAAAAAGAGGCACCAGACCATGGAATGAAAAGACACACAGGGCAAAGGGCTGGTGTCTTGACCCACCCGCCCCATCCCAACTCACTTAGCCAGGCCATTTTCTTTTGGGGAACTAGTTTGTTCTTCTTGCCCTTCAATCAGTCTGACTGAAAGCAGAGGTGTCTTCCGGTCGGTGACCCTCCGGTGCTCCGTGCTCAGAGACTTCTGTGCTTTCTGTTCCCTGGGAGAGTTTAACTTCAGGGCGGCTCGATGGAGCAGTGGTGTGGGTAGGAGGGAATCAGACCTGCTCAGGGGACCCGAGGCACTCTTCCTCCCAAGCTCCGGAATATGGAAGGTTAAGGATGACCCAGGAAGACCCTTCCTGATTCAGGGGCTATATTCAGCATGGGGTAGTGTTGCGGGTATTTGGGAGGCCCTAATTCCTGCTTGCCACTTCCAATGGCCTCTAACCTCCCCCTGCGCCTCTGACTCGATGAGAACAGAGAGCCCCGAGCTCCCCGCCAGCCGCTCAGAGTGAGATACACCGGGCTCCCCGCGCACTCCCCAGCTTTGTCCTGATGCTCAGAAGGGCCGTGCAGCGGGCAACCTTCCTTAAACTGAAACTCCGCAAATCTGTTTAAGCCCAAGCAAGTGTAAGCTGACACCTCGGACGTCCCAAGGCAGCGGAGGCAGACTGGGGGGGTCTGCGTTTCTCTCGCCCTTCCTGCCTTTTCGGCGGCCGCAGCCGGCTCTTAGAACGGGTTTTGGCCATCAGGGTGGTGGCGCCTGCCATGGGAAGTTCACAAGGGATTCCTAAAAGGAGCCGCTCCCTTTCCCCATTCCAACCTTCTGCCCGGGCCGAGTATCCGCAGTTCCCGGCAACTACAAGCCCTGGGGCGTAAGAGTGCAGAGAACAGCAGAAAGGATAGCCCCTACACCTCTCCGCCTCGCGCGTCCTCGTGGAGAGTGTGTCCTCGGCCACCGCCGTGCCCTCTACGCCCCCGCCCCCAGCCTACTAGACGCGCCCCAGGCCACGGGGAGGCCGGGCCTGGCGGCGGGGCAAACTCACCGACCAGCACCGAGACTCAGACGCGCGCGAAGAGGGGCGGGGCAGGGCGCGAGCCCGGCTGGGCTGGGGGTGTCGGATGTCACCCGGGCGCACACCTCGGCCGGGGGGCGGGGAGCAAACCACTGAGACGCCGAGACCTCCGCGATCCTAGAGCGGAGCAGGAAGTGTCCCAGGGGAGGGAGCCCGAGGGTCCGGCCTTTTCTTTCCTCCGCGTCCGGCGGGCTCCGGCGGCGGCCAAGCCTGCGGGGGCCCTCCGACGGGGACGCGCTGCGGCGGTGAGTTCGGCGGGGCTCCTGCGGCCCGCGTAGCGCCCTTCCACCCCCTCCTCCGGCCGCAAGCACCCTGGACTCCCGGCCCCGCACCCCCCGATCGCGCGCGCCTCCTGGCCCCGCGCGCCCCCTATCCCGGAGCCGATCGTCGGTGGATCTGCGGGCGGGGGGTTGGTTAAAGCAACATCAGTATTGTTTTTCAGGAGCCTGCATTTGTTCCTACTCTTCCCTTCTAAGTGGAGCCGTGGTTTTCTGGATGAGCAGGAGACGGGGCTTGGTTGGCCAGGGAGGGAGTCGGGCCCGGCAGAGAGCCCGCCTCGGGAAGGACACCGGGAGTCCGACCGGGAAGGATGAAGAATGGCTGCGGAGACTAACGCCCCGGCCGGAGCGGTTTGAGTTGGATGCAGGGAAGGAGTTCCAGGCTGTGAGGTGAAGAGCCGGGAACTGGCTACACTGGGGGCGCGCTCGTGAGTGTGTGTGTGTGTGTGTGTGTGTGTGTGTGTGTGGTGCGCGCGTGGGCGCGCGCTGCAGGGGAAGCGGGAGACGCGGAGCGAGGAAAAGCTCGGCCTTTCCTCGGCCTAAAATGCCCTCCCCTTTCTTTTCTGCTGATCGCGTGCAGTCCCTTCCCCTAGAAGCCCGCCCCGCCCCGTCCCGTCCCGCCCGCCCCGCGGGGATCCTCTGGGACCCACGTTCGTTCATTCATCTGAGGCATTACTCTTGAGCCTCCTCCTGGGGCCCGGCTGACAAAGAGGAACACCGCCTTCTGGTTAGGGCTGGTTTTCAGCGGACGCCGGACCCAGAGCGCTGAGGGTGGGGCCTGGCTCCCTTAGGATAGGGCAGACCTGAGCCCCCAGAGTTTCTGCAGTTGTGTGGCGGCTGAGCTCAGGGCCTTTGGGGTGATGAAACCGAGACTGGGTTCCTGATGCAGGAGCCGGCCCTGAAGAAGGCAGACAAGAGGCCCTCTGATGGGCCCAGCCAGATTCCTTCAGTCCTTTTCTGCTAGACTGTTTTCCCTTGGAATGCAAAGCTGTCTGGCGCCTGGGTTTTTCTGACTGCCATACCATGGGTTTGTGGCTCTTCTGTGAACTAGCAGCGAGGTCCTCATTCCACATGGGATCCCTGGGGCCGTTGAGCGGTTGGCGGTTAAGGTTAAGCTGGGATGTCTCATACAGTCTGGGTGTGGAGGTCCAGTGACTGTGCCCAGTGGTCTTAGAGGCCTGGGGGGGGGCGGTGTTTCTCTGGGCCCCGTTGTCTGTGAGTAGTACTGTTACTCTCTGATATTTCCCTATGTGTGTTCACTAGAACTGGGGAGATGGAGGAACCCTGAGCCCCCTCTGTGCTCATATGGGGGCTCCCACCTCTGTCCTGCCTTGGGAGGGCTCTTTGGTGTGTACAGGTGCCTTCATTATGGTTTAATTATGCCCTGCTGGCATGCTCAGTGACTTGAGTACCTACCTGTGAACGAAAGGGTTCTGGGTTCAATTCCCAGTCAGGGCACACGACTGGGTTGCAGTCCAGGTCCCCAGTGGGTGGTGTGCGAGATGCAACTGATCAGTGTTTCTCTTGCATGTTGATGTTTTTCTCCCTCTTTCTCCATCCCTTCCCCTCTCTCTAAAAAATAAAATCTTTAAAAAAAAGATGGCAAGGGTAGAGAAGGTGGTAGAGGCAAGGTCAGGTATCTTAAACTTAGTGAGTTGGGGAAGGCTGATCTGGAAGTGCTGGTGTTTTTAAATACACAGTGTTACTTTTCTCCAAGAATCTCAGGATGTGGCTGTCACTTTTTCACTGTCCCCATTTCTTGTGTGAGTATCTTCTCAGCCGTTTGCTACCCACCCCACCCCACCCCCTCAGTCTCCCAAGGCAGACTCCGAGTCAGAGCCACCTTGGCACTCTGTCCAGCAGATCTGTCACCGGTGCTGGCCTTGGCCACCAGCATGTGGATCTCCCATCCTGGATGCACCCTCATGGCTCTTCCCTGCCCACCTCTCTGCCTTTCCAGCTCATGTTGTGAAGGTCTCAAGGGCAAGGACGGTGACTTTGGCTCAGAAGCCCCAAGATAGCAGCTTGCCTGGCTCAGCCCTCTCGGGACACTGAAGGTACCCTAGAGTCTTAATTCCTTCTGGCTCCTGCGTGTAGCCCTGTCAATGTGCTGGATGCTCAGAATGCCATTGTCATGTTGCAAGACCACTGCTTTTCTCCTGGACTCCCTGCCTTGTTTGTCCAGTTGACCAGTTAGGGGAACACATAATGATGCTGTTGGGGGGTGGTAGTGCCCTCTCTCCCTTTATGCAAGGACCAGCCATACTGACACTTCTCACAGGTCCCAAGAGCTTCTCCCAAGGGTGGTCTCTGGGCCTTGTCGCTTTCCCCATCACCACCCCCCAAAATCTGCTGCAGGAGACCAGAGCATTGAAGCCAGTGATTTCTGTTTGGAAATAGGGTCGTCTTCTGCTGCTGACCCCCATCAAATCCCATCATGCCCACAGCCCTGTGCCCCCGTGTGTTGGCTCCGAAGGAAAGTGAGGAGCCCAGGAAAATGAGGAGCCCACCGGGAGAGAGCCCTGGCCCCCAGGGCGAGCTTCCCAGCCCAGAATCCTCCCGACGCCTCTTCCGCCGGTTCCGCTACCAGGAGGCAGCAGGCCCCCGGGAGGCCCTGCAACGCCTCTGGGACCTGTGCCGAGGCTGGCTGCGGCCCGAGCGACACAGCAAGGAGCAGATCCTGGAGCTGCTGGTGCTGGAACAGTTTCTGGCCATCTTGCCCCGCGAGATACAGGGCTGGGTGCGTGCCCAGGAGCCCGAGAGTGGAGAGCAGGCTGTGGCGGCTGTGGAGGCACTGGAGCGGGAGCCGGGGAGACCCTGGCAGTGGGTGAGCAGAGCGGCTGCTCTGGGCGGGCCAGAGGCTGGGAGGAGTGAGGGGGAGAGCAGCTGGGCATCAGTGGAGATGGGGCCATGCACTCCCTTGTAGGGCTGAGGAATTCTGTCTGGAACCCCGTGTTTTGGTTGGGCCCACAGAAGTGTTGGTGTCTCAGTACAGCAGGTTACGTTCTCTAAAGGCTCTTATTAGGGGGAAAATAAGCCATCCCCTTTTTAAAGCCCTGTCCAAGGCCTGGGTTGAGCCTCCAATGGTCAACCACTGGCCCTGGCTGGCTGATGCCCTCTCCACCTGTCCTGAGACACTCTCTCTGGGATTTCAGCTCAAGCACTGCGAGGACCCAGTGGTGATTGATGACACCGATGGTCCTCGGGACCAAGAGCAGGAGCTGCTGCCAACAGAGCCCCAGAGCCATGTTGCAAAGAGCCAGGAAGCCCCGCCGGTGGCTCTGCCCCAGGGCCCGGGGCTCCAGAGCAGACTGCCAGGCCAACTCAGCGGGGACCCAGGTAGGGAGCCTGGGGGTGTGGGGGAGGAGCCTGCATGCCCCATCCTGTGTCTTGGTGGTGGCTCTTGACCTGAGTAGTTTTCTCTTGCCCCCTAAGGAGCCATAAACCATTTTCCAGGTCTGGGTTCCTCCCTAGAGCAATTGAATCAGAATCTCCTTAGGGTGTCTGTTCTTTTCCTGACACCCAGTCTACCCAGAGGGACCTCTGCTGTAGTGGGTGCCTGAGTCTGCACCATCTTCTCCCTATGAGGGTACATCTCTGAGCTTTGCCATTTTGGGGACAGCTGGACACTGGCTGTCCCAGTGGCACATTTGTCAGGACCCAAGTGTAGCCATCTCCACTTGTCTCCCTGAACCCATCTGTACCAGCTAAACAACTCCTGACCTCAGGCATGTTATTATGCTGCAGGAAATCCAGGAATACCCTCAGAAGGAACAGGTAGGCATCTCAGGGTTCCTGGCTTGAATGTCACCTGGACATTTCTGAATATCTGTACAGAGTATGCTGGTGGCTGCAGGCAGGTAGGTGGCTTTGGCCCAGGTACACTTGACTTTGAATCCCCTTGCTGTACCCGGGACATGCTTCTGAATTCTGCAAGCCTCAGTTTCCTGGTACATCCAAAGGAGGCAATCATTGCCCGTATTGGATTTCTTAAGGATTAAAGGAATATATCCATAAAATGCAGAGCTGGGGGCCTGAGCCAGTCATGATTTTGAGTTGATGTCATCCCCACAGGAAGTTGTGCTGCCCTCAGGTTGAGTGAGTGACCTGTATGGAGTACGGGGGTTACTTAGGGCAGGCTTTCCACATTGTATTGGGTTGGCCAAAAATTTGTCCCTATGGTTTTTCCATAAAAAGGACACACTTTTCATTTTCACCAATAACTATTGATTGGGATATTTCGAGTATATCAGCTATCTCCCACATGGTATAATGTTCATTGTTCTCAATTAATGTTTCGGTTTGATCACTATCAACTTCAACTGGTCTGTCCAACCATGAAGCATTGTCTGGCAAGAAATCTCCAGCACAAAACTTCTCAAATCACCTTTTTTAAAAAGGTTTTATTTATTTTATTTTTTAGAGAAGGAAACATCAACATGTGGGTGCCTCTCATGCGCCCCCTACTGCAGACCTGGCCTGCAATGCAGCCATGTGCCCTAGACTGGGAATTGAACCTGTGACCCTTTGATTCTCAGGCCGGCATTCAACCACTGAGCCATACCAGCCAGGGCCACAAACCACTTTTGACACATTCAATAAGTCACAACACCTCTGTACATTGCCCAAATCTCTTTCTGCACTTCAATTGCATTTTTATTTTCCTTAAAATAATAAAGTATAACATGCCGAAAATGTTGCGTATTTTCTTCCATCTTCAATATTAAATTGAAGATAGCTACACAAAAATTTACCCATTTTGATAAGTTTTTTAAGTGTGCACTGATAGGATAGCTTCACAAACTTTTTGGTCAACCCAGTACTATATAGATAACATGCAAAGGAGGGGGCATCCAGGAGAGTACTCTTGCAAATCACAGAACTTGTCCTTGGCATTGCAGTAAGTATTTCAATTAAAAAAATAAAACGTTAAATTTCTTTGCGGGTGAAACCCTTGAGTCCTGTATAAATCAAACTCTTCAGCCTCTCATTTAAAGTCCAGATGGCTGTATTAGTTTTCTGGGAATTTCCAAACCAAGTCCCACCGGCAAGGTGGCTCAGACACCAGACGTTTATTTTCTTCCATTTGTGGAGGCTAGAAGTCAGATCCAGGTGTGGGCAGGCCTGGTTCCTTGGAAGCCTCTCTCCTTGGCGTGTGGATGGCCATCATCTCTCTGTGTCCCTCTGTGTGTGTCCAAGTCTCTTACAAGGACACCAGTCAAGTAGGGTTAGGGTCTGTCCTTAAGATGTTACATTAACTTAATTATCTCTTGAAAGACCAACATCTCCAAATATAGTCACAGTTTGACATCCTAGAGGTCGGGACTCCCTCATATAAATTTGGTGGGGACACAGTTCAGCCTGTAATGACAGGCATAAGGCAAGGACCGTCAGTCCAAATAAACTCTGCGTGTACAGGCAGCCTGGGCTGTGCAGGTTGTGGGGGCAGGAATGCCCCCAGGAGGGGCTCCCCAGCCTAAGCTGGTGCTTCATGGGGAAGTTGGAAGACAAGCCATTTACCACCAATGGGCGGCCGGTCAAGCAGCTCGGCTGCATTTTCCCTGAGCCAGAGGAGACCTGGTGAGTCACTGGGCTGAGCCTCCAGTAAAAAAAAAAGCCATGTAGTTCCTAATCTTGAAAGTCTTTCTAAGAAGCTAGATTTTGTTTAGAGGCTAAAAAGTTTCCACAGCGATTTGCAAAAGTATGTACTCATGTCTCATGGGAAAGGTGGGGTGGAGCTGTCATCATCCCAGAAGGTGGCAGGTGTGAGAGCAGAAGAAAATCATGCCTCACATCCATGCCCTCCCTGCGGAGCTTCCCCGCCCGGTAGGGGGTGGGTGGGCTTCCTCTCTCAGGAACCCCCAATGTCACTGCCAGCTGAGTTGTCCCCTGTTCTGGACCTTTGTTCTAAAGAGCTATACCTGTCCCTACTGCAGCCTGGGTCTGAAAGGTGAGGGGCACTGGCTCTTGTGTCAGCCTTCACACTGATTGAATGTGTGACGTGGAGTCAGCCTTCAGGAAACTAGGACACAATGGCGCAGCTTTCCTGGGAAAGGACCACCTTTTGAAAGATCTTTTCACATGGCTGCACCCTGGGTGAGGTATGAGGCTCACTGTTCACAGAAGCCTGAACCAGGTGGGGTTGCCAGTTAGAAGCCCTGCTGGAATAGCGCCCCCACCCAGGCCCTAGGGTGGGCCAAGGGAGGTGTCCCAGGGGTGCACTCTACACCTTCTAGTGATGGTGGTCAGGGCACTGCGACAGGTGTTTGTTCCGAAGTTTGTACTTGGTAACTTAAACGTGTATGTGTTTATCTGGCCCTGGAGCCCCACAGTAATCTGCACTGCCAGCAGCTCTTACTGGTACTAAGAGCTCTCAGCTTTATTTTTTCCTGATTTTGGATCATGAGGTTGAGCTCCCTGCACCTGTGGACATTGCATTCCCAACTTGGTGGCAGGGCCAACTGGAGCTCAGGAATTCCCTGTTAAAAGTCCCCATCATTGTCTCTGAAGGCAAAGGAACAAGTCTTGTGGTTTGCCCAAAACTTTTTCTGTGTATTATCTTGGAATCCTCCCTTTGCAGATGAGGAAAGAGGCCTGGGGTTATGAGATAAACTTTTCTCATCTCTTTCAGTTCCACAAGACTCATCCCTCCAGGACCCGACCTTGAGGGATGCACAGCAGGTGACTGCCCTCCAGCTGCCCCTGGTGAGTGACCTGCAGGAGCTTTGAAAACCCCCTTTGCCTCTGTCAGCCACAGGAGGACCCTGGCAGGTCTGTGTCTGCCACATAGGCTGTTCAGCCCCATCCTAGAAAAACTGAGGGGACCCACCCAAGTTTACATGAGTCCATCTCTCCTCCTGCCCCAGAGCCTGGGCTGCTCTCTCTGAGGCTTTGGTGTTCCCTGAATTGAAAAAGGGGAGGGAAGGCAGATTTCTTTGGTACCATTACACAGCCATGTAGAGGGGTGTTAGGGAATTTCCCCTCCCCTTACAGAGATAAGGCCTCCGTTCCCAGGTGTCCTCCCCAGGTGGGAGCTGGGCTTGGTCTGCAGGTGTCCTCACTCACACCTTTCCATCCCAGCTCCTGCCTGGGGGTTTCTGACTGCACCGCCTTCACCGTTCTCCCGAACACATCCCATTAGCTGCCATGAGGTGCAGTTGTGAGAGTGTGGGTGCCATCGGGTCGGGGCGCACCCTGTTGCCACTGTTCTCTGCAGGTGGAAGACTAGCTGCAGGACAGTCTGTGCAGTGTGTTCTCCACACAGTGCATTTGACAGGACTTTAAACCTGGGATGGGTGGGCTCCAGGTGGGAAGGAATAAGCCAGCATGTGGGGTGGGATGTCCTCGCCTTGGGAGCTACCCCAGTGAGCAAGGCATGTGTCCCAGTATCTGTTCTGAGCTGCCTGAACTGGTAAGTCAAACTATCCAAAGGAGGTAGAACTATTTTTATTGAAAATGGTTATTTTGGCTAGTATGCCTTGCAAGGGGATGCTGTAAATTTAGTACCTATGGAGCTTTGGTGCTCACCTTCAGATTCCCAGTCCCTGTAAATGCTGCAGTGCGCTGAGGATGCAAATTTTGATGAGTCAGTACTGTTTAATCCTCACTTAAGAGTGTTTCTTCCCATGCATTAAGAATCGGCATCCCAAAGGTCTTACTGTTTAAGGTCTTTTTAACTTTTTTTTTTTTTTAAGATTTTATTCATCCATTTTTAGGGAGGGAAGGAAGGGGGGGGAAAGAGAGAGAGAGAGAGAGAGAGAGAGAGAGAGAGAGAGAGAGAGAGAGAGAGAGAGAGGGAGGGAGAGAGGGAGAGAGAGGGAGAGAGGGAGAGAGAGGGAGAGAGAGGGAGAGAGAGAGAGAGAGACATCAATGTGTGGTTGCTGGGGGTTATGGCCTGCAACCCAGGAATGTACCCTGGCTGGGAATCGAACCTGGGACACTTTAGTTCCCAGCCCACGCTCAATCCACTGAGCTACGCCAGCCAGGGCAGGTCTTTTTAACTTTTTACTTTTAGTTGTAAAATACATATAACAAAATTTACAATCCTAGCCATTTTTAATGTACAGTATTGTTTTTAAGTGTTCAGTGATCTTAGGTATATTCCCATTATTGTGCAGCCAATCTCCCTAGTTTTTTCACCTCTCCAAGCTGAAACTCCTCAGCCATTTGGTAGTCATTCCCCATGTCCCCAACACCGCCAGCTCTGGCGCCCACCATCCCCTCACTCTGGGGAGTGTGCATAAGTGGAATGACACAGCATGTGTCCTTTTGTGTCTGGCCAGTTTCCCTCAGTGTATTGTCCTCTAGGCTCACCCATAGTGTAGCGTGTGTCAGAAATTCCTTCCTCGTTAAGGCTTGGATGATGTTCCATGGTGTGTGTATAAGCCACTGTGTTTATCCATTCATGCTTTAATGGACACTTGGGTGGCTTGCACCTTCTGGCTACTGTTAATGATGCTGCTTTGAACACAGGTGCATTTAAAGTTTGTTTGTTTATTTGGTAATTGCAGATTCACTTACAGTTGTAAGAAATAATAGACTCTTTGTACTCTTTACACTGAGTGGTAAAGTCTTATAGAAATACAATACAGGGTCACAGCACATTAATACACAGGATACAGAATGTTTGCTTTCAAAAGGACCTTTCCTATTGCCTTTTACAACCACACCCACTGCTTCATTGGTTTCTGATAACCACTGATGTGTTATCCATCTGATAGTGTTAGTGTTTCAAGAACATTAACTAGGTGGGAGGTAGGCTGTTTTCAATTAGCATATTTCTGTGGTGCTTTGACCACTGTTTTGCATGTGTCAGTAGTCCCTTCTGTTTTTATTGCTGAGGAAGAACCCATGGTATGGATGGACCAAGGTTTTGCTGAACCACTTCCCTGCTAAAGGAGACCCAGGCTGTTTCCAGTTCGGGGCACTGTGCAATTGTTGGGTTGTCTGGTATCTTTTTCCCAGAGTGACTGTACCATTTTACATTCCCACTACATTCTCCACATCCTCACCAGCATGTGGTGGTGTTGCTGCTTTGTATTATATTTTTAATTTTTTTCTTTAAGCCATTTTCAGGGGCCTTAATGACTTCAGTGTCTTTAAGGCTTATAACATGGCTTTCCTCGTGTCAGCTCTCTAAATTTCTGCAGAAACCCACTCAGGTGAGCAGACTTACTGGTTGGCTTTTGCTGTTTTTCATTTTAGCCATTCCAATGGATACACAGTGATATGTCCTTAGGATTTAGACTGCATTTCTGTATGGCCAATGAAGTTTGTTATCTTTTCCTGTGCTTGTCTGCTGTCTCTGTATCTGCATGACATTTGCCCACATTCTAATGGAGCCATTTACTTTTGTTACTGTTGAGTTTTGAGAACTCATTATATACTGTCTACATATTTGTTCTTTGTTGGATGTATGTTCTGCAAACATTTCCTCTCATCACAGCCTGTATGGGGTCTTTAGCAGAGCCAAAGTTTTTAATTTGGATTAAGCCCAATTTGTCAGTTTTTCCCTTTAAGGATCATGCTTCTGGTGTAAAGTCTGAGGACTCTGCCTCGTTTTGATCCTAAAGATTTTTTTCCTCCTATGTTTTTTGCTTTAGTTATACATTTTACATTTAGGTCCAGGATACATTTAAGTCTATAATCTACGATCTGTAGTTTTTGTATAAGGTGGAGAATTAAGTCACGGATTGTTCTGTTTTGTTTTGGGTTTTGGTTTTTGCTAGTGGATATCCAGTTGTTTTGGCACCTGAAAAGCTCTGCTCTGTTGTCAAAAACCAGTTAAAGTGCATTTGTGTGAGTCATTCTTGGGTTCTCTGTTTTGCTTCATTGATGTATTTGTCTTTCTCTCCACTAAGAGTACACATTTCTACATGTCAGTTTTGAAGTTGGGTAGAATCTGCCTCTTATTTTATTCTTCTTTTTCAAAATTACTTTAGCTATTTTCGTCTCTTTGTCTTTCTGTATCCAGTTTAGAATAACTTTGCCCACATATGCACAAAGTCCCACCAAGACTGTGGGTAAGAGTTTTGTCAGGTTGTGTGTCAGTTTTGGGAGCGTTGATGTTGTCACTGTCTGAGTCTTGTGATCTGTGAATGCCCCACATCCTCCCATCCACCTTCCTTCTCTGACTGTCATTGCTGCTCCATGGCTCTCAGTGTATAAGTTCTGTAATTTTTTTGTGAGATTTATACCTATGTTCTCTATTTTTCTGAGCAGTTGCAAATGGTATTATGTTTTTAGTTTTGTTGACAGTAACATAATTTGTAGTATAAGACACACAACAGATTTTTGTGTGTTTATTTTATATTCTGTGACCTTGCTGGGTTTACATATCAGTTTAAGAAAGGGTTTTTTGTGCATTTGTTTCTTTTTAAGTAAAGTCCTGGATCTTCTATGTATACAATCATGTCATCTGCAAATAAGGACAGTTTTATTTCTCTCCAATGTGTATATCTTTACTTCTCTTTCTTGCCTCATCTCTTTGGCTAGAATGTCCAGCACAGTGTTGAGCAGCAGTGGTCCAAGGGGGCATCCCTGCCTTGTTTCCAGTTTTAGAGAGTGTCCATCTTTTACCATTAGTATGCTGTTAGCTGTAAGGTTTTTTATTTTTTGTTTGTTTGTTTAAGAAATAGAGTTTCTAGGGGTTTTTTAAAGATTTTATTTATTTATTTTTAGAGAAAGGGGAAGGGAGGGAGAATGAGAGGGAGAGAAACGTCAGTGTGTGATTGCCTCTCATACGCCCCCTACTGGGGACATGGCATGCAACCCAGGCATGTGCCCTGAGTGGGAATTGAAACAGCAAGCCTTTGGTTTGCAGGCTGGCGCTCAATCCACTAAGCCACACCAACCAGGTTGGTTTTTGTAAATTCTCTCTGTCAAGGTGAGGAATTTCTGAGAGTTTTTATTGTATAGGGGTGCTGAGTTTTGTCAGAGTCTTTCTGCTTCTGTTCAGGATGAGCGTGTGAATTTTCCTTAGGCTGTTAATATGGTAGATTATGTTGACAGAGATTTTAAAATTCTAATCCAGCCTTGCATCCCTAGGAGTCAAACCCTTATTGTCATGGTATAAAATCTCTTTATGTATTGCTGGGTTTTGTTTGCTGTTACTTGGTTAAGGCTTTCTGCATCTATTCAGGAGGGATATTAGTCTTTGTTTTTCTTTACCACCTTTGTCTGGTGTTGGTGTCAGGGTATTACTAGCTTTACAAGGTGAGTTTGAAAGTGCCCTAATGCCCCCACAATTTTCTAAAAGAGATTGTGCAGAATTAGTGTTAACTCTTTCAACATTTGGTAGAATTCTCTAGTGAAACCACATGACCTTGAAGACTTAGAGGGGGCATAGCAGAAGTGGTATTTCAATTATAGGTTCCACATCCTTACTGGTAATGGGGTGTTTCCCACTACCTGCTTCATAGTGGATGAGCTGTGGTGGTTTGTGTTTTCCAAGGGATTGGTTCTTCTCATCTTAAGTTGTCAGATTTATGCGTGTGGAGCGGTTTGTTCATGGCATTCCTTCACCATCTCAACCTCAGCAGGGTCTGTCGAGGCCCTGTTCTATCCCTGGTGTTGGAGATACGCCCTCTCTTTCCCTTCCTTGTCAATCTTGCTGGAGGTGTCAGTTTTACTGATCTTTCCCAAAGAACCAGCTCATTGTTTCACTGATTTTTTTTCCTACTCTTTTTATTTTTACAATTTTATTG